CAGGAGCTCGAGGTGTAGACCCTGAACCCTAAACCCTAAACCCTCAACCCTAAACCCTAAACCCTAAACCCTAAACCCTAAACCCTAAACCCTAAACCCTAAACCCTAAACCCTAAACCCTAAACCCTACCCCCTGAACCCTAAACCCCAAACGAACCCTAACCCGAAGCCCCCAGCCCCCCAAAACCCTTGACAGACCGGCCATGCTCAGGACTTAAAACAACGGACCCCGAAACCCTAAACCCTAAACCCTAAACCCTAAACCCTAAACCCTAAACCCTAAACCCTAAACCCTAAACCCTAAACCCCTAAACCCTAAACCCAACAACGCAAGTCTGCAACCCTTGAAGACCCCGACTCTGCCCAAGGCCTCATGCAAAGTGAAATCCACCCCGCCAGAGCCCGAGACACAACCCTAGATGGAAAAGGGTTTGGAGGGGGTTTTGGGTTGAGGGTTTAGGGTTTAGGGGTTCTTGTAGTATTAAGTATATAGGGACACCAAGGGAATACTATTAGTATCTATTCCGACCCCTATATTGCGCCCCTGAAATTAAATCCCTCCACCCAGTTGAGAGCTTAGGCTGAAATTGGGCTTGACGGTTTATAGGGCTCACCGGTAAACCCTAACCCTAAACCCTGAACCCTAAACCCTAAACCCTAAGCCCTAAGCCCTAAACCCTAAACCCTAAACCCTAAACCCTAAACCCTAAACCCTAAACCCTAAACCTTAAACCCTAACCTACACCCCTTCTTCAAATGTATAACCTAGCTCCCGCAAACACCAGGGCCTCGGTCATGTACAGCGAGCCCTCCAGGCTCTGTGAGCCAAGGGAGGCTGACCTGATTTGGGGTTTAGGGTTTAGGGTTAGGGTTTAGGGTTTGGGGTTTGGGGTTTGGGGTTTGGGGTTTAGGGTTTAGGGTTTAGGGTTTAGGGTTTAGGGGTTTAGTGTTTGGGGTTTGGGGTTTGGGGTTTGGGGTGTTGGGGTTTGGGGTGTGGGGTGTTGGGGTGTTTCGGGGTTTGGGGCTGAAACCTTTTGGTTTGGAGGGCTACAGTGTTCAGGGCTTGGGGCCTATGACTTTAGAGTTTGGCGTGTTAGGGCGTTCGGGGTTTGAGGGCTTGGGGTGTGTTAGGGGTTGGGGCTCACTGGCTCCAAACATTGAAGGCTGGCCTCACAAAGGGGACTGTTTATCAGTCTGCGGTCAGGGATGCGCAGCTGCAGAGAGGACGCAGCACAAGGGGCCAAGATGGTACCAAGTCCACTGAGGCCACTTCGGCCCAGCAAAGCTTACAGCCTGGCCAGGTGAGGACGTGAAACTGCGAGTGGAAGTGACGATCGATCCAGTTGGAAACACGCTAACCAACCCAGAATGAAAAGGATCAGCCGTCCCAAGTGCAAAGTGCGCATTGTGGCCAGCAGTCTGCAAGGCGCCATCGCTGTAAACGAAGAGGCTGTGCGCGCAGCCACTGGCAACCAGGGCCACCGGTAGCCCCTGCGTGTCTGGGTAGTCCAACACACAAGTCGCTCCCGAGTTGTCTGTGCCGTCAATGTAGTTGTATCTTGACCCTTCTGGCGACATCCCGGGGGCGCGTTCCCAGGAACACCCTTGGCGGCATGCTTCTACGACGCAGTCGCCGTCATGATAGCAAGCAGGGAAAGTGGAAGGACACGTTTTCACCTGATCGGCCAGTGCAAGGGCAATGCCCGGGCCGAAAAGGCCACTGGTGTTGTCACCCCATGCGACCAAAGCTCCGCTCTGAAGCACTGCGAAGGCAGACTTAGACCCTGCAGCGATCGCGATGACTCCGTTCAGGATGCGGGTTGGAATGGACCGGTCTTCCCTGTCTCCAGTGTTTAGCTGCCCCTCCTCGTTTGCACCCCAGGCCCACAGTGTGCCGTCTGCGCGAAGTGCGAAGCTACAGAAGTCGCCTGCTGCCACGGCGATGACCGACGAGAAGATCAGCACTGGCACTGGCGTGTGGCTGTCGGATGTGTCGCCCCGCCCAAGCTGACCGTGACCGTTGTGGCCCCAAGCCCAGAGGCTGAGGTCGCTCCTCAGTGCCAAACCTTAGTTGCTGAGCTCATAAGCCCCCAAAAAAGCGTACACTTTCAGTGCTGTAGGGGATTATAGCATCCCCAAAAAGTGCAAAGTGTGTTTAAGAAACTGTGGTAGAATCCAGCAGCGACCTCCACGATTGAGGTCATTCCTTCCACTGGCGCAGGGATACTGTGGTCTCCCTGCCGGCCTGTCTGCCCATTCGAGTTGTGGCCCCAGCTGTAGAGGTTGCCATTCCTAGAAGCTTTCAGTGCTGAAAGAAGTTTGAGAAAGAAGTCTGTACCTTTTCAAGGGACCGTAATATACTAGCAGAGCCCAGAAACCACGAGAGCAAGAATACAAACAAACAACACCTAGATTCACGACCGCCAAGCTCTGCGCTTCCCCTGCGGCCACCGCTGTGGCATTCGCAGCGAAGATCTGCTGCGGGCTTGCGTGGTCCAGACCGTCGCCGGTTCCCAGCTGCCCATTGAAGTTGTAGCCCCAGGTCCAGAGACCCCCACTCTCATCGATGGCCATGGCGTGGTAGTAGCCTGCTGCAACATCCACTGCCCGCAGATCGTGCCGAGTTGGTACGGCCCGGTCGTTCAGGTCTCCTGTTCCGAGCTGGCCACGGTCGTTTTTCCCCCAAGACCACAGGTAACCGTCATCTTTGATAGCATAGGAGCTGTAGCACCCTGCGGCGATGCGGGCCTGCCCGGGCGCCGCAGGCGCCGCAGGCAGCGAAGGGTCTCGGGTCGTGGCCGCGGTCGGAGGGCTTGTCGAAAAGAGCGGGCCGTCCCCACGCACGCGGGAGGCCAAGGAAGCCCAAAGCAGCCATCGCGCCATGGCCACATTGGGTCTTGGCGCCGAGGTGCCTGGGGTTGGGGGGATTGCGAGGCAAATCCTGTAACATCCCATAATCAGGGCTCAAGGCTCAGGTTTAAGGGCGAAGGGCTGAGGGCCAAGGGTCAAAACTAGGGCTGAGGGCGAAGGGTCAAGGGCGAAGGGCTAAACCCTAAACCCTAAACCCTAAACGCTAAACCCTAAAGGCTGAGGGCGAAGGGAATGGGAGTGCTGATCTTCTCCCTGCTTGGAACGTCATGGGCATCAGGGTCTTCGGGATGACGAGCCCGGGCTTGCTGGGGACATGGAGCCTGACTATATTCAATTATATTATGTTATATTATTCTATACTATACTATGTTATACTATATTGTACTATATTATATTCTAATATATTATATTATCTTGTATTACATTGTATATGTATATATTGCAAAAATATGTCATAGTATAAGCGTATATACAGAGAGAGATTTACTTATTCATTTACGTGTTTGCAAACAAGGACTTACGGGTCCTCAGTGGGGGGGCGGAGATTGGCTCTTGGCCCTCAGATGTACAGCCACACCCCACCTGGAACCGTAATCAAGACAATACACTTTGGCTTTTGCTTTACAACTTGGGGTTTTTGGGTTTGGGGTTTAGGGTTTAGGGTTTGGGGTTTGGGGTTTAGGGATTTTGCCTTAGGACTTGCACACCAGGAACCTGGGTTGCTTCGGACTCCAGGACCTTTACCCACCTGGAGCCCGTCCGAATCTTTAGGGCTTTTGGGGGAGGTTACGGTGGGGAGGGGCTAAGGGAGGCTTAGGGGACAAAAGAGCTCATAAGGCAGGGTAGGGCCGCAGTAGTCCGAGAGTGTACCGGGAGCATGGCATCTCCACGAAGACGCAGTACAAGAACACACCCAGGTACTTTGTCCTCAGCTTCGCAAGGGGCTTTTGGGGGTGTTTGGGGTGTCGACCTGAACCCCAAGCCCTAGAAGCATGCAAGAGGGGGGCGTCGGAGTTCGGGCTGCTGCTGCGTCGGGCACGAAGTTTCAGGCTTTCATCTGACTCGCTGTGTGTGGCCCCCCCCAATTCGGGCCAGCTTCCTGCACGCCCCAGAGAAGGCACAACATCTGTTAAAGCCATAGCCCCTCCCATAAGTTCATGCTCTCCCCCCGGGAGCGGGTTTAGGGTTAGGGGCTTGGAAAGGTGAGGGCTGCTATTGCCCCCGCCAGGGTAAATGCTGCTGGAGTCCAGGCATCACAAGGACTTGAAGCCACGAACCCCCTGAAGCCTGAAGCCCTGTTTAGATAAGGTTCATATAAGCGCATTTTAATGCGGAGTAAAGCCCAAACTCGCCGAAGCCCAAAATCATGTTCGAGTCCCAAGAGGCTTGTTCGCAAGCTTTGCTCGCGAGTCCGAAAGCATCGTCTTCACAGCGGTCACGCCTGCTCAGCAGAGAGTCACTTGGTACCGAGGCTTTTGGGACCTTAGGATCACCAGCCTCTCTTTAATTAACCCCTACTCAATGCAAGGAGTGATCAGGCAGGTTTAGGGTTTGGGGATGGAGGGCTAGAGGGTAAAGGCACAAACGCCAGAGCTCACTTTGCTTCTTTTTGTATCACACCGTGCGCGCTCATCAAGGAGCCCCCCCCCCCCCCCTCAGGGCTGCTGTGGATGTATGCAGAACCGGTCTGGGTATGGAGTGAGAAGCGGAATTGAGAATTAGGGGTAGCACTGCAATAAGATCACTGCTTCCGAAGGGACGTCGTCAAAAAGGTGCGAGGCCCAAACCCCTGCACCGCACACACCCGAAGCCCTGCACTTCCATTTGCTTAAGAACACCCCCCAAAAACTAAGAAACACAAAGGCGTTCTTCCCTGTGAGGGCAGTATAGGGATCATTAAGTTGCTTAGATTTCAGGGGCTCTTGAGCAAGTAGTAGTACACACTCCCCCCTTAACCCTAAACCCTAACCCCTAAACCCTAAACCCTAAACCCTAAACCCTAAACCCTAAACACCAAGGGCAGCGCTTGCAGGTGGGATCTCCGCCCAGATGAACTGGGCGAAGATGAACTCCGAGACCAAGCCTTGGTGATGGCGGGTCCCATGTTTAAGGTTTAGGGCTTCAGGTGTAGGGTTTAGGGTTGAGGGTTGCAGCTACCCCCCTTTCTACTAGTACTAGTACTAGTACTAGTACTAGTACTAGTAGTAGTAGTAGTAGTAGTAGTAGTAGTAGTAGTAGTAGTAGTAGTAGTAGTAGTAGTAGTAGTAGTAGTAGTAGTAGTAGTAGTAGTAGTAGTAGTAGTAGTAGTAGTAGTAGTAGTAGTAGTAGTAGTAGTAGTAGTAGTAGTAGTAGTAGTAGTAGTAGTAGTAGTAGTAGTAGTAGTAGTAGTAGTAGTAGTAGTAGTAGTAGTAGTAGTAGTAGTAGTAGTAGTAGTAGTAGTAGTAGTAGTAGTAGTAGTAGTAGTAGTAGTAGTAGTAGTAGTAGTAGTAGTAGTAGGAGCAGCAGCAGCAGCAGTGGCAGTAGCAGTAGAGTAGTCGTCGTCGTCGTAGGAGGAGGAGGAGCAGAAAAATAGAAAAACAAAAGTCGTGCAAACGCGACTACACCTTGTAAGGCACCCCCTAAACTTCCCCATAACACACAAACGCACTCAACCCCTCAGAACACCCCACCCCCAGACCCAACCTCACCATCTCCCTCCCCCCAAACCAAAAAAAACAAACAACCTGAACCCTGCACCCTAAGCACGTAAACCCTGAACCTGGACACCCGGAGGCAACAACCCCTGGTCCCCCAAACCCAAACCCAAACCCTTAAACCTCAACCCGGAACCCCACACCCCCAAAGCCGAAAACCGTAAACCCGAGCACTCCAAAACCCTGTAACCTTGAAGCCCTGAGAGTAACAACCCAAACCCCAAAACACCTCCCGCCCCCTACCAAACCCTAAACCCCCCCGCTCCCCCCCCCCCAAAAAAAAAACTAAACCCTAAACCTTAAACCCTAAACCCATTAACAAAGGACAACTCCGTGGGCCAGGCAGTCCCTGGCCAGGGCCTGTGCTTCCTGGCAGGTTTTGGGGTTTGAGGGTTGAGGGATTTAGGGAGATAGGGTTTCGGGGTTTAGGGGTCTGGGGATTGAGGGTTTAGGGTTTAGGGTGTAGGGTTTAGGGTTTAGGGTTTAGGGTTTAGGGTTTAGGGTTTAGGGTGTAGGGTTTCGGGTTTAGGGTTTAGGGCTTAGGGTTTAGGGTTTAGGGATCTGGGGATTTAGGGCTGAGGGGTTTAGCGCTTGAAGCGAACCCGAGGCATGCTTGGAAGGGTCCTGGGGGTCTGGGGTTGAGGCTCTGCGGGGCGTGAGGACTAGTCACCGGTGACTTGGTCGGGAGTGTAGCTGATGATAGCCTAGGGTTTAGGGTTTAGGGTTTAGGGATTAGGGATTAGGGCTTAGGTTTAGCGTTCAGGGCAGCAGTCAAAAAACAAGCAGAAGCAAGGAAGCCTGCTTCATGACAGATTGAAAGGCTCTCAACAACCCCGCCAATCGGAGCGGATCTAACCCTTAACCCTAAACCCTAAAACCCAACCCTAAACTACAATCGTTTAATTGGTTTGTTTATGGGGGGCAGACAAAGCTAATAGGGAAAATGAAAGGAGTACATTGGTGGTTGCGTGGGAGTTTCCCAAAATGGGGGGCCCCCAATGTTACCCCCCTCAAACCCGAAAAAAAAACTCTGATCTTTACTGGAACCACCAAAACGGTACTAAACTCTGAACCCAAACCGACCCTAACTTTCGAAAACCATAAACCTCAATCCCAAATTTGCGGAAACCCGAAGCCCGAGCTTTCTCGGAGATCTCACCTCAAACCTAAACCCTAAACCCTAAACCCCAAACCCTAAACCCTGAACCCCTACTTCCCAGGCGGGTGGCCGGCGGCATCCGCACGAATGAAGGAAGGACCTGCATAGGGTTTAAGGGTTTGAGACCCGAAACCCTAAACCCCAAACCCTAAACCCCTAGAGGGGTTTGGGAAATCTCAAGGCATGTGGGCTTTTGGGGGCTTAAGTGCAAGTGTTTGGGAGTTCGAGGGTTTGGAGGTTCAGGGTAGTTTAGGAAGTTCAGGATTTTAGGGACCCGAAACCCTAGACCCTAAACCCGGGCCTGGGATCCGGGCTAGGGTGGAGGGTTGGGGCTTTGGGGGCTAACAAGGACCCCAATAAGGTACCCCGAATTTCGAAAACCCCCCACATATGACCCTGAACACCTTGACCCGGCAAGTAGGGGTCCCCCAACTCCGAACAAACCCCACATGCTTCCTTCCACACCCCGCGCAGCCAGTGGCCTTGGGCGAGTTGTTCAGCACGTGGTTGAGCACCTTTCCGCCCTAAACCCTAAACCCTAAACCCTTGACCCTTGACCCTTAAACCCTTAAACCCTTAAACCCTTAAACCCTTAAACCCTTAAACCCTTAAACCCTTAAACCCTTAAACCCTTAAACCCTTAAACCCTTAGACCCTTAAACCCTAAACCCTAAACCCTAGAACTATCTCGAACCAAGGTGTTCGAGAAAGGTGTCGAGGAGCTCGGAGTCCAGGGTAGGGTTTAGGGTTTAGGGTTTAGGGTTTAGGGTTTAGGGTTTAGGGTTTAGGGTTTAGGGTTTAGGGTTTAGGGTTAGGGTTTAGGGTTTAGGGTTTAGGGTTTAGGGTTCCGGCTCCTTTAGACAAGTAGACTGTCTAGGGGCCCAGTGACACAAACAACCATGGTCTGCATGCATAAGGTTCAGGTGGGGTTCCGAAATTAGGGTACCTTCTTGGGGTCCTCATTTTGAGGGAATCCTACTATTTGGGGTCTAGATTCGGGGTCCCTTATTTTCGTAAACTCCCAGGCGTTTGGTGATTGCATGTGCCGTGCCCTCAGGGCTTTGATCATGGCATCGTGCAGCGTCGGACCCTTTTCGTCGCTTAGGGTTTGGGGTTTGGGGCTTTAGCAGCTAGGCGGGTCTCGGATCAAACGAAGCTGCTTGTTGTGGGGTGTCAGGTACTCGGGCCTGTTCCTCTTATCACGCAAAACAAGCTTTGGAAGCTCCGAGCCCACCCTCCAGACCTCTAGGGGCCCAGTTGTGATTAGAATCGACTGAGTAGCTTCTGTGGGAACGAAGAAGGATTCTATTGGCAACTACATAGTGTGCTGCAGTCGGACTGCTTGCCCGGCTGTCGCACCAACTCAACTCGGTACTCTAACTAAGCTCCACACCCTGAAAACAAGCCGGGTGTAGGCAACTGGCCCTAAATCCTCTCTACACCCTAAACCCTAAACCCTAAACCCTAGACCCTAAACCCTAAACCCTAAACCCCAAACCCCAAACCCTAAACCCTAAACTTATGACCACGCACCTGCGTAGGCGTGGAGCAGTCGGGCGCAAGTTGCGTCCGGAACTTCGGCAGCCTCGCCGGGTTTGGGCCCATCTGGTTGGGTCTTAAGCCCTGAGGCCTTTGGCATTCGGGGTTTAGGGTTTAGGGTTTAGGGTTTCGGGTTTAGGGTTTCGGATTTAGGGTTTAGGGCTTAGGGTTTAGGGTTTAGGGTTTAGGTTTTAGGGGCATTTGGGGGTTAGGGTTTAGGTTTGAAGCTAAGGGGGATGAAGACTTTCTGGCTCCGGCAGTAGAACTTTGTTGCTTAGAATTGCCGGGGGTGGGAGGGCTTCTAGGGGACGGGATTAAGGGTTGGGCTAAGGGTTTAGGGCTTTAGGCCCAGCAGACCTGTAGGCGCGCCAGCTGTAGAGTACCGAGGAACCCTAGGCCCGAAACCCTAAACCCTAAACCCTAAACCCTAATACATCCAGATATGCCTTCCGGCCTTACACCTGGAACACATAAACTTAGGATCTTGAGGTTTACAGGTCTTAAACGGGTTCTCAGAGGGTAAGGGAGGGGGGGTTCACCTGGAAGCTTGCGGAGCCTGGGGAGTAATAGGGCGGCCCTAAACCCTAAACCCTAAACCCTAAACCCTAAACCGCAGCTTTATAGGGCTTATGGGATTAGGGTCGAACCCGCGTTCCAGTCCGACCTCGCCACATCCATCACCGCCATGACAGTCAAGACAGCGTTGAACACCTGGCGAAGGTGGTGTAGGGTTTGCGGTTTAGGGTTTACGGTTTAGGGTTTCGGGTTTAGGGTTCGGGTTTAGGGTTTAGGGTTTAGGGTTGAGGAATTAGGTTGTAGGGTTTAGGGTTTAAAGGTTTAGGGTTTAAACGGTTTTGGGTTTAAACGGTTTAGGGTTTAAACGGTTTAGGGGCGGGGGTGCTTCAGGGTTTAGAGTTTGGGGTTTGAGGAGAGGGCGGGGGGTGGACATAGTCGCATTTGCCATGCTTTGCTGAACTTTAGTGGGATTTGCTTCCGCATTTTCGCACCTGTTCCTCGCTGTTCTCACCTTCACATTGCTCCCACGCTCTTCTCGCTTGCGAGTCTCACTTCATGTTCGTCAGAACCCTGAACTCTGAACCCTGAACCCTGAACCCTAAACCCTAAACCCTAAACCCCAAACCCTAAACCCTACACCCTAAACCCTAAACCCTGACCCCAAAAACATCAAAAGCCATTTCACCAGCCTCGCCGCTCTCCAGTGAGGAGCTGGTGAGTTCCCGGATCCTTGGCTCTACTAATTGCTGAAGAACCCCGAAAAAACTTAGGGTTTAGGGTTTAGGGTTTAGGGTTTAGGGTTTAGGGTTTAGGGTTTAGGGTTGAGGCTTGAGGGTTGAGGGTTGAGGGTTGAGGGTTGAGGGTTGAGGGTTGAGGGTTGAGGGTTTAGGGATATTTTTTGAGGTTCTGAAGCAAACAGTAGGGCTGCTTCGTGTTTCTGGGGGAGGTGTAGGGTTTGGGGTTCAGGGTTTGGCTGTTTTGGGGTTTAGGGCTTGGCTGTTTCGGGTTTAGGGTTTAGGGTTTAGGGTTTAATGTTTAGGGTTTAGGGTTTAGGGTTTAGGGTTTAGGGTTTAGGGTTTAGGGTTTGATGTTTAGGGTTTAGGGTTTAAAGTTCTGGGTTTAGGGTTAGGGTGCCTTCTGTTACATTCTTCAGAGGGTCTGAAGTATGGGTCCTTGGGTTTTATAGGGTATAGAAGGTGTATGTAAGTAACCCTAAACCCTA